GGAAAGAGATGTGAGACTTGACTCTAAAGCTATGAAACCAGAGAGGTAGGTTTTTAGCCTGAATCCCAGGCTTCTTAGGAGGAATGCAACTGTCACCTGGCACATACGACACAGGGAACCTACTTTTCCCCAAAGAGGTTCTGGATTGTCAGTGGTGAGCAAGTTGCCGTAATGCCAAGTCAATGGGATGAAATTACAGGGGCAGTAAGCCATTGCTGCTCAGCCCCTGCCTGAGAATTTGCTAGTACTGGACCATCTCACAGATGCTGCACTTCGAGACTGTCGAGTTTGCTTCAGCAGTCACGTTAGAAACTGGACTGAACCAGCAGTTAGCGTAATGGCTATGTCGCTGGATTCCCACGTAGTCGACCGCGGTTCGTGTCCCGGACCCGGTGGCTTAAAACTCACGCCGGGCGCGTGTGCGTGCGTGCCCAAGATCCCGAGAGGAGAATGGAAGAGAAGGGATTGCGGCGTGACCATCCCCCCTGGGGGGTGATTTCTCGCTTTCTGTCTCTATGTCTCTCTCTGTCTGTCTGGCGAGCGCACGCGCCCTACAGTGAAAATCTCTCAAAAAAAAAAAAAGAAAAGAAACTGGACTGCTACCTTGGGTCTTTACACCTACCTTCCTTTGCCTGAGAACGTTTTCTCCCAAATATCCACGTGGTTCGTCCTTCACCTCCTTCAGGTCTCTGTCCCAACACCAGTTTTCATGACCAGCTCATTTAAAATAATGACACCTCACCTCCAGCCTTTGTTTTGTCCTTTTTCTGTTTTCTTTTTTCTTCTATAGTACGTATCACAATGTATAGAAGCTATATTCTTTTCTCAACTACAAGAAAGTGGAGGTATTATCGTTTGTTGTAGTCTCTTCTGAATCTCCACTTTCCAAATAGGGTCTCACACCTGGTGGATAATTAGAAAGTAATCATTGAGTAAGTTAGTAGGAAGTATAAAAAGGGTAAGGAAAGGATAACTTAAAGATACTGTCCCAGCGATAGATTAAATGGGGGCCAAATAGGGGCACAGTGCTAATGCAACACTTTCAATGCCGGACCCTTATGGGAAGGTCCGTGGTTCAAATCCCAAGGCCCCCCTATGCATTTTAGGCACACATACACGTCCATAATCTGGGCTGGCTGAGACCAGCAATGGATCATGGCATGAAGACTCTGTTTGAGGTGCTTGTCTCTCTCCCCTCTGTCTCTCTGTTTCTCTATCTCTCTCATGGAAGAGATAAACTTAAATAGGTTAGTTTAAAAATTAGCACATTTATATATAAACTTGGTACATATATCATAATTGTTCCCATAGTAAACTTCATATTATAGAGATGAGATGAGAAAGCAATGCTTGGGAATCAGAAAAGGAGTGGGCAACAAATGGAATTAGGCAGAGAAATAGAACCTAAATTCCTGTCAGCTGGACTAGCTCGTACTTAGGCAAGGAGACATGAAAGAGCAGGATACACGTAAGAAAGGAAAGTGGTTTGACTTTTAAGTTTGCGTTGTAGTAACTGGCTGATGAGGATGGAAAAGTTTGGTGATTCTAGAGAACTCTGAATATGAGAATACAGAGAAGAAACTTGACGAAGAGCTCAGTGTTCTTTCTTGGTAGAGCACCTGAGGCCACAATGGTGTGTGTCGATGAAATAATGATATAATGAGTCTATCCTGAAACTAAAAGCAATTTCCTAACAGAAAGTTGACAATTAGAAGTCAATACAAAAACCACAATTTTGTTCATACTTCTCTAAAACAAAGAGCTATTGAAATAAGTACATTTGAGGAGCCAGCAGATGGCAAAATGGTTACATCGCTGGACTCCCACGTATTCGACCACAGTTCAGAGTCCTAGACCCAGCGGCTTAAACAACTCATGCTGGGCACGTGTGTGTGTGCCCGAGATCCTGAGAGGAGAAAGGAAGAGAAGGGATTGTGGCATGGCCATGCCCCCAGGTGGTGATTTCTTACTTTCTATCTCTCTGTTTCTGTCTGTCTGGCAAGTTATGCACCCTATAGCAAAAAATCTCTGCAAAATAAATAAATACATTTGAGTTTTTCTGATTTTTTCCAATAATATTCATTTACTAGAAGTTCATTTGTTTTACTACTAGTGTCATTCACGATCAAGTAAGTAATAGCAATGGCCACAGGCTTTAGAAAATGTGAAAGGAAACTTAAAATTAGGGCCAGCTGGTGGTGTGATAGTTAAAGTGGCTGGATCCCACATGGTCATCTGTGCAGTTCAAGTCCTGACCCAATGCCTTGAAAACTCAGCACATGTTCATGCAGGCCCAGATCCCGAGAGAATGGAAGAGAAAGAATCGTGGCATGGTTATCCCACCCTAGGGGTTCTCTCTCTCTCTCCTCTCTCTCTCTGGTGAGTACACTCACCCTATAGCAAAATTTAAAAAGAAATTTTTTAATCGATTCTTTAAAATTCTATGCATTAATTTGATTACCAGCATGCCAGTGAGAATACTTTAAGAACTAGTGTGAAAGGTGTGACAAGAGAATTGGTTCCATGATTGAATTTTTGGATTTTTTAAAAACAGAATTAAGAGCCAGCTACAGATGAGGGTCTTAAACAAATCTGATGCCCTGCCAGTGGACTGGAGATGCTATGGGGGGGTTGTTACAAAGTAAAAAACTACACCCCATGTGGCATTTGGAGGTGAAGGTGTCTTAGTCCATTGTTGTGTTACTTACAGCAGTACCCAAGACTAGATGATTTATTAAGAATAGAAGCTTAGGGCTGGCAGGTGGCATGGTGTTGAAAGGTGCTAGACTCCCACATGGCTGGCCATGGTTCGAATCCTGGACCTGGCAGCTTGCTTTCTCACTTTCCTTTTCTCTCTGTTTCTTTCTCTGGTCAAATTTAAAAATAATAAATTAATTAAAATAATTCCTAAAAAATAAAAAAGAATAGAGGCTTATACAGAGCACAGTTCTAGTGCCTGGGAAGTCCAAAGGCTTGAGACTAACATCACAATATGGCTCAAAGAGCCAAGAGAAGACAGACATGCCAAAGAAAAAGAAAGAAATAGACTTTTGCAATTCCTCTGTTTGTCCCTCCCATGCACCCAGCTGATTGGATGATGTCCACCCATGGAAGGCAGGTCTTGTTCTCAGGTCACTGACTCACCTGCCAATCTTGTCTGGCAAGATACCCACCCACATCAAAGGCCCCACCCCTTAAAGGTCTCATCACTTCCCCAAGCCATTACATTAGGGACCAAGCTTCCAGGGTATGAGTCTTTGGAGAATAAGCTATTAATAAGTAATAACAAGAGAATAAGCATATGTGATTTCTGGCCTGGATGAGGCCCTAGATTGGGTTAATATTGCAGAGGAGGAGCAGGTTTATGGGCAAGAGTTGAACAAAGGGAATTCCGGCTGCTTTTGCTTCAAATTTGGTAAGTTGAAGGGTCTATGAAACATAGAAGAGGAGATACCTGGAAACAAGTGGAATTGCAAACCTGCTGAGGATCAAATTATGACAGGTTGTATTTTGTGCAGTTATGAAAACTTCAGTGTAGCTGGACTCATGGAAGAAAATGAATTTTCTCAGAAAGAATATACAGCTTACATAGAAAAGGCAGCCAGGGATCTGCACTATACAGTACCCTAACACAGAAAATGTTACTCGTCTAAACTGAATCAGGGCCCATCATCGTTCATCTCATCGCTGTCTATCTCAGGTCACTGAACTATTTCCCAGTTGAAAAATCTTACCAATGGGGATAATTACATTTTTATTTTATTTGTTGTTTTTTGTTGTAGGGTGTTTGCGCTCACTAGAC